CTCCCTCACCCCTCACTCACCTCTCCCTCACCTCTCCCTCACCCCTCACTCACCTCTCCCTCACCCCTCACTCACCTCTCCCTCACCCCTCACTCACCTCTCCCTCACCTCTCCCTCACCCCTCACTCACCTCTCCCTCACCTCTCCCTCACCCCTCACTCACCTCTCCCTCACCTCTCCCTCACCCCTCACTCACCTCTCCCTCACCTCTCCCTCACCCCTCACTCACCTCTCCCTCACCCCTCCGTTCCCATATATCACTGCTATAAGCAACTATCTTCTCCAGACAGCCATGAATATATTATCATATAAGATCCTTCAGGCGGAGAGGGAGGAGGAGCCACCTGAGAGAGAGAGAGAGAGACAGTAGGGGTTGTAAGATTCTGTACGAGGCACAAGTACGCTCGCACCTTGAGTATGCTCCACTTTCTTGGTTTGCCTGCCCCCCCTCTCATCTGCGACTGCTTGACAGAGTAGAGAACAGAGCAAGACGTCTCATCTCTCGCCTGGACCCATCCTGGATAGATCTGTCATTTCAGCAGAGCCTTCAACATAGGAGGGACGTGGGTGGCCTTACTGTTATGTACAAGGCCAATATTGTCAAAGTGTCACACTTGGATCCACTTCGAGGACAGCGTGAAACAAGCTTTTATGCCACAAGACGGGCAGAAAGCAGCAACTTCACTCCTGGCTGTACCCTTCTCCAGAACATCACTCCATCTGAGATCATATATACCCAGGATGACTCGAGTATGGAACACATTCGTACAGTATAATGATGTCAACGAGATAAAGTCAGTTGATCAAATGAAAATGCTGGCCCACAGATGGCTCCAACTTCATCCTGTTCCCTACTTGTATGTCTCATAACAATAAAAATGCTTTCAAATGAGCTGATGTAGGTAACAGCTCTTAGCTTGCCAATAAAGTTAGGAATCCTTAACCTGTAAATAGCTTGTCAATAAAGCTAGGGATCCTTAACCTTGTCAAACCCTGTGTAAAAAAAAAGAGAGAGATAGAGAGAGAGCCTGCAGGAAATCCTACAAGATCAGTAATACATGCCATACACAGAGGTCAAAGGCAGTGTGAACACCTCAGTCAGTAATCAACAAGGTGAACGATAATGTTGCCTCTCTCCTACCTTCCCTTCCTTCTCCTCTCCCTTCCTCTCTCCCTTCCACTCTCCTACCTTCCCTTTCTTCTCCTCTCCTTTCCTCCCTCCCTTCCACTCTTCTACCTTCCCTTCCTTCTCCTCTCCCTACCTCCCTCCCTTCCACTCTCCTACCTTCCCTTCCTTCTCCTCTCCCTTCCTCTCTATCTTCCACTCTCCTACCTTTCCCTTTCCTTCTCCCTCTCCCTTCCCCTCTCCCTTTCCCCTCTCGTACCTTCCCTTCCTTCTCCTCTCCCTCCCTCTCTCCCTCTCTTCCACTCTTCTACCCTCCCTTCCTTCTCCTCTCCCTGCCTCCTTCCCTTCCACTCTCCCACCATCCCTCCCTCCCTTGCAACATAGCTATCAACATGCAGTAATGTAGCCCCCCTCTCCTTGCAATATAATATGCATTATTGCAACCTTACTTTCTTAACACCATAACAACATTCAGTAATGTAACCTCACTTTCATCACAACATAACAACATGCAATAATATAGCCTCTCGCTCTTGCAACATTGCCATCAACATACATTAATATAGCCACACCCCTTGCAACATTGTCATCAACATACATTAATATAGCCACACCCCTTGCAACATTGTCATCAACATACATTAATATAGCCACACCCCTTGCAACATTGTCATCAACATACATTAATATAGCCACACCCCCTTGCAACATTGCCATCAACATACATTAATATAGCCATAACCCCTTGCAACATTGCCATCAACATACATTAATATAGCCACACCCCTTGCAACATTGCCATCAACATACACTAATATAGCCACACCCCTTGCAACATTGCCATCAACATACATTAATATAGCCATACCCCTTGCAACATTGCCATCAACATACATTAATATAGCCATACCCCTTGCAACATTGCCATCAACATACACTAATATAGCCACACCCCTTGCAACATTGCCATCAACATACATTAATATAGCCATACCCCTTGCAACATTGCCATCAACATACATTAATATAGCCATACCCCTTGCAACATTGCCATCAACATACATTAATATAGCCACACCCCTTGCAACATTGCCATCAACATACACTAATATAGCCACACCCCTTGCAACATTGCCATCAACATACATTAATATAGCCACACCCCTTGCAACATTGCCATCAACATACATTAATATAGCCACACCCCTTGCAACATTGCCATCAACATACATTATTATAGCCACACCCCTTGCAACATTGCCATCAACATACACTAATATAGCCACACCCCTTGCAACATTGCCATCAACATACATTAATATAGCCACACCCCTTGCAACATTGCCATCAACATACATTAATATAGCCACACCC